ACTTTGAACGCCGGTAGCGATTGCATTTAATGGTTATTACTTTCTCCTTTTTCAACTTGTTCTGTACAAATTTCGAGAATAGTTGGCATGATACATCCGATTAGCAGAAATAGCTTTTTGTTAAACTGCCAAGAGTGGATAGCTTCAAAGTCAAATGATTTTAGGTAAGAACTAGGATTTTGTCCAGCACACACAGGTACGTATACATATACATATGTAAGTGTGTTATTTAGTTAGCTCGTATGCACTTATGTAATCTATATTCATCATAAGTATGCATGTACATACATACATATGTATTACATGCTGAATTTGCTACTGTTCTCTTTTGATTGTCACGTTTTTGCAATGAAAAAAAAAACATTTGAAATGCCTCTGTAGAGGCTGATTGACCATTGACCATATGTTGCTGATGGAACGCAGTATTTGCCGAATTTGACTTTCTGGCTACTGAAAGCATAGGTTTGAGTTCTCAATGCAATAAATAAAGGACCTTATGAGGGCAGTCAGCAAACATTACAGTACAGATGTATAAAAAAAGAAAAGGAAAACCGAGTAATCGTATATAAAAAAATTACACTTGAATTCACGAAACGAATCGCAGTGGCGGAACGTTAAAAGAAAATTACAGGGAATTTTTAGGTTACATTTAATTTCTTGAACTGTATAATAAATTAATTTAGAGAAATGTCGCGCTGACGCTTTTTATGTGAAAAAAGAAAAAAATTTATTAAATAAAATAGCTTTACATGCGTATTTTGGCCCTGGGTCCCCCAAATCAAGTTTTACATTTTCACCCAGAGGCCGCCACTGTTATGCTTATAAAAAATTGGTAAATGGTCATTGTTTTTTCATTGATATGTTTTCGACTACAAATTTTGAGTTAAGATTTAAATTTTATTTTTTCGCAAAAAAATAAAAGTTAACTTTTGACTTTTAATTTTTCTTTGATATATAACAATTAATATTTGACTATTAGTTTTCCAATCATAAATAAGAATTAAAATTTAGCTGTTATTTTGTCAATCAAAATAAATATGACTTTTATTTTTCCGATCGAAAGTTTAAGTAGTAGCGTCTTCATATGGTTAACTGCATCGCTTTAACGGCTATTTTTCATTGACAACATACCGGTAAACATACGAATTAATTGTTGACTTTTTTGAAAAAGCATCTCACCGCTATATTCAAACATAATATAGACACATTCTTTCCGTCTGACCTCTTGTATTGAAATTTGGGTACTTGTTCCCAGCGGCTAGTCTTAAAGTATT